CAGTCTTCTCCCTGAACATGCCTCTGGTCTCTGGGGGTTTTCACTCAACATACCTAATCTGCGTAATCTCAGCCAACCACTGATAACACTGAAAGGGTCAAGCCTTTCCTACCCTGAAGACAACTAGCTCCTCCTGTTTCCACCTAGTTCCTCTTAAGTTCTGCTGAGCACCCCAAAAGCAACATGTCCAAAATGGAATTACTCTATTGTCTTATCTTTTCCTTAAACTGAAGCTCCTTCTATATATTTTTTCTCAGTAAATGGTACTATCAACATTCCACACTTGTGGCTGTGCTGTGAGCGTGATGCCATGGCACTCTACCCAGGGGGATAGCTTGAGACTCTGTCTCAAAAAAAAAAAAAAAAAAACATTCCACACTTGTAACCTTAGTGTCCTTAGAGTGTTCCTTCCCTGAACCTCCACATTCAGTCTGTGACCATGTCATATTGACTCTACCTTTTAAGTAAATCTGGGCTCGGTGCCCATAACACAGTGGTTATGGTGCCAGCCATGTACCCAGAAGCTGGTGGGTTCGAAACCAGCCGAAGCCAGCTAAACAAGAATGACAACTACAAAAAAAAAAAAAAAAAAAAAGTAAATCTGTAAGTTTCTCTCCACTCTCTTAGTTTAGGTTTTTCATTTTTCTCCTAAGTTACTAAATCTGGGCTCCCAATGTCCAGGTTTGCAGATCCTGACCCTTCTTTGTTTCGCTATGTTGCCCTCGGTAGAGCGCTGTGATGTCACAGCTTCCAGCAACCTCAAACTCCTGGGCTCAAGTGATTCTCTCGCTTCAGCCTCCCAAGTAGCTAGGACTACAGGCACCCAGCCATTTTTTGCTGCTGTTCTTATTGTTGTCCAGTTGGTCTAGGCTGGGTTCAAACTCACCAGCCTCGGTGTATGTGGCTGGCGCCGTAACCTCTATGCTACTGGTACCCAGCCAGAAATGAGTCCATATGAGAAGGCAAATCTGGTTCAGCACCCACAGCTCAATGAGTAGAGCACCAGCCACGTACACCAAAGGTGGCAGGTTCGAGCCTGGCCCAGGCCTGGCAAACAACAATGACAAGTGCAACAAAAAATAGACAGGCGTTGTGGCAGGTGCCTGTACTCCCAGCTACTTGGGAGGCTGAGGCAAGAGAATCACTTAAGCCCAGGAATTAGAGGTTTCTGTGAGCTATGATGCAACAGTGCTCTACAGAGGGCGACATAGTGAGACTCTGTCTCAAAAAGGCAAATCTGATTGGTTTCCCTCCCCCCTACCCCATCTCTGATGTGGCCCTGCTACTCACTCAGCCACCATTACTAAATTCTATTCCCTGGGAATTTGGAACATTAACTGCCTCTTCCTGCTCACTCCAACCTACCCACTCCCACTCCATGATTTTTCATAAATACCTCTGTGGTCTTTTAAAACTCAGCTCAAATAACACTCCAGTCTGAGAAACCACAGTCTTGAGGCTGTTCCCCAGGCAGAACTCACTAATCCTTTCCTTTGCCTCCTACAGACTTCTACCTAAGCACATTAGTGTGCTGATTTTTACTTATCCATATTCCCTAAGTAGAGATTTCAACTACAATCCTCAGGAGAAAAAAACACTCAAATAAAATAGGCAGTTATGGCTTGGCACCTGTGGCTCAAGCGGCAAAGGCGCCAGCCACATACACCAAAGTTGGCAGGTTCAAATCCAGCCCTGGCCTGCCAAACAACAATGACGGCTACAACCAAAAAATAGCCAGGCGTTGTAGCAGGCGCCTGTAGTCCCAGCTACTTGGGAGGCAGAGGCAGAAGAATCGCTTGAGCCCAGGAGTTGGAGGTTGCTGTGAGCTGTGATGCCACAGCACTCTACCCAGGGGGACAGCTTGAGGCTCTGTCTCAAAAAAAAAAAAAGAAAAAAGGCAGTTATTGCTTCACTTAAACAAGAAATCCAGAGGTAGTGCAGCTCCAGAACTGGTTAGGTGAAGTTTTGTTGTTGTTGTTTTAGAGTGGGTCTCAGCTTGGCACCCATAGCACAATGGTAACAGTGTCCACCACATACACTGAGGTTGGTGGGTTTGAACCCAGCCTGGGCCAGCTAAACAACAATGACATCTGCAACCAAAAATAGCTGGGCATTGTGGTGGGCACCTGTAGTCCCAGCTACTTAGGAGGCTGAGGCAAGAGAATTGCTTAAGCCCAGGAGTTGGAAGTCGCTGTGAGCTGTGATGGTACAGCACTCTACTGAGGGTGACATAGTGAGACTCTGTCTCAAAAAAAAAAAAATAGAGTGGGTCTCATTCAGTCATCTAGGCCAAGTGCAATGGGGCAGCTTACTGCAGCTTCAAACTCCTGAGTTTTCTACCATGCCCACCTAATTTTTCTATTACTTTTTCTTTTTCTTTTTATTAAGATGGGTGTCTTGCTATGTTGTCCAGGCTGGACCCAAACTCCTGGTTCAAATGATCTTACCACCTCAGCCTCTCGAGTTGCTAGGAATAGAGGTGTGAGGTACCACACCCAGCTCCTGGTTAGTTTACACAGTAGTTCAATGGCCTCATCTAAGATCCAGGCCTTTCCTTCTTCCTATACTTCACATTACAGGCTGTGTGTCTATAGCAAATCCAGGCAAACACCAGACCCAGCAATGTCCACTGAAAGAACATCTATCCCAGTAGGTCTTTTTTTTTTTTGAGACAGAGTCTCACTATGTTGCCTTTGGTAGAGTTCTGTGGCATCACAGCTCACAGTGACCTCCAACTCCTGGGCTTAAGCGATTCTCTTGCCTTAGCCTCCCAAGTACCTGGGACTACAGGCACCCGCCACAATACCTAGGTATTTTTTTGTTGCAGTTTGGCCGAAGCCGAGTTCGAACCCACCACCCTGGGTATGTGGGACCAGTGCCCTACTCACTGAGCCACAGGTGCCACCCTATTTATTTATTTTTTAAACATCAAAGAATCAACAATGTTTTATTTATTTTCCTTGTTACTTGTACTTTTTCCTTTTTTATTATTTTTTATTAAATCATAACTTTGTACATTGATGCATTTATGGGGTTTAGTATACTGCTTTGATATACAACGTGAAATGCTTACATTGAACTAAGTAACACATCCATCACAATTATACTCTTCTTTTTTTTCTGAGACAGAGTCTCACTACGTCACCCTCGGTACAGGTCCATGGCATCACAGCTTACAGCAACCTCAAACTCATGGGCTTAAGCGATTCTCTTGTCTCAGCCTCCCAAGTAGCTGGGACTACAGGCACCCGCCACAACGCCTGGCTATTTTTCATTGCAGTTGTCATTGTTTAGCAGGCCTAGGCCAGGCTCAAACCCACCACCCTTGGTGTATGTGGCCAGCGCCCTTACTCACTGAGCTATGGGTACTGAGCCCTCATTTCTTAATAGTTTTGAAATGTACTACTGTATCATGCACATTAGGTGAGATCCCCCCAAATGCCCTCCCTCCTCCCATATCCCTCCTCCCCTCCCCTCTCTCTCCTCTTCTCTTCTACTTTCTGAACTATAGTTATGTTTTGCCATTCATATGATTATACATTGATTTCATAGTAGTATTGAGTACATTGGATACTTTTTTTCCCATTCTTGAGATACTTTACAAAGAAGAGTATGTTCCAGCTCCATCCAGGTAAACATAAAAGATGTGAAATCTCCATCTTTTTATGGCTGCATAGTATTCCATGGTGTACATGTACCACAATTTGTTAATCCATTCATGGTTGATAGGCACTTGAGCTGTTTCCATGTCTTGGCAATTATGAATTGGGCTGCAATAAACATTCTAGTGCAAATGTCTTTGTTGTAAAATAATTTTTGATCATCTGGGTATAGACCTAGTAGAGGAACTGCAGGATTGAATGGTAGATCTACTTTTAGTTCCTTGAGTGTTCTCCAAACTTCTTTCCAAAAAGGCCATATTAGCTTGCATTCCCACCAGCAGTGTAGAAGTGTTCCCTTCTCTCCGCATCCATGCCAACATCTGTAGTTTTGGGATTTTGTGATGTGAGCTAATCTTACTGGAGTTAGATGATATCACAAAGTGTTTTTGATTTGTATTTCTCTGATGATTAAGGATGATGAGCATTTTTTCATGTGTTTGTAGGCCATGTGCCTATCTTCATCAGAGGAGTTTCTGTTCAAGTCTCTTGCCCACATAGAAATGGGGTTATTTGTTCTTTTCTTATTGATTAGTTTGAGTTCTCTGTAGTCTAGTTATCAGACCTTTGTCAGAAGCATAACCTGCAAAAATCTTCTCCCATTCTAAAGGTTGTCTGTTTGCTTTACTTGCTGCGCTCTTGGCTGTGCAAAAGCTTTTTAGTTTAATCAGATCCCAGTCATGTATTTTTGGTGTTGTTTCAATTGCCCGGGGGAGGGGAGTCCGCATCATAAAATATTCTCCCAGGCCAATTTCTTCAACTGTTTTCCCTACACTCTCTTCTAGTATTTTTATAGTTTCATGTCTTAAGTTTAAATCTTTTATCCAGTGAGAATCAATTTTTGTTAATGGTGAAAGGTGGGGGTCCAATTTCAGTCTTCTACAGGTCACCAGCATCATTTGTTAAATCGGGAGTCTTTAAACCCCACTGAATATGGCTCGGCG